CAGCCGCTGCGCGTGTTGCGGGATGGACTGTGATCCACCTTCCTCCATCAATGTTCATACCGCACACACTTTTTCCGTCTACAACATCCAGAGTAGTTATCTTCAGCTCGGAGAAACTTTTTCAAGTACAACGATAATAAGAATGTTTATGCATCTTTCAAACGGGAATTTGTCGTGTACATAGTAAATAAAGCATGAACTGAAAAGCTAGGAAGCAGTGGACAACTGTTTCGACCCGGTTGGGCCTCATCAACAGTGCGAATTCATCGACCTAAATGAGGATCGAGCCCGGGACCTCACAGGTAAAACACAAGCATGTTACCCAGTCGGCCGCCGGGCAGTTGATCTGACCGTTTTTCATTTTCCATTTACACGATATAGCGCAACTCATCTTTGCGAGCTTGTTGCAGGCCACGGACCTCACTCATCTGAGCACTAGCCTCCCGGGGTTAGGACTCGATTGGAAACAATCACAACCTGACTACTTGTTTCATGTGAGTAATGGAGGGTTTAATTCAATTTCAAATGGGAATTAGTCGTGTGTATAGCAAATGAAGCTGATCGAAACAGCTGTCCAGTGCTTCCTAGCATTTCAGTTCACGTTTATTCATCTGTTCGGAATGTTTAGTCGTGCAGCAACGGTCAAAAGAGTATGCCAATCTGACAGTCTGTGTTGAATGAGTGTGTCGATCAAATTTACCGCCAGGAATCCCATCCTTCCCGCCCTTCCCGTCGTTGTGTTTCACGTGACACAACACCAGTCTGGGAAGAGCGACCAAACAAATCCTGTGTCTGAGAGGAGAAAACCAATGAGAAGATTGAACTGTTTTGTTGAAATGAGACGCGATCGATTTTTTTGGGGGGGGAGGTTAAATTGCTGAGACATGAAATCAATAGATTTGTTCCATTGAGCACACCAAGGTGGATTTTCTTTGTGTATATCCGGCTCGTGTAAAAGCCGGTTAATGAATATACCAATTGAGTCTAGATTGCATTGAATCGTTTGTTTCGGACGAATTTTAAGTTTTCAGTGAAAAAGTTTGAGATTACTACAGATATGACTACCCTGCCAGGACGCATCGTGCCCCGAAACAGGAAAAACATTAATGTTCCGTGATGATGAGGCAGTGTATCTCCCTTGACAAATTGGCATTGAGTTCATCTTTTTATGGAACATAGTGCTCACTGGTTCCATTTTATCTTGTCCAAAAGATTCGTTGTTTTACCCTGCTGAGTAAAACCTCTTGTCCATCGACTATTCCATTCCATGCAGAGACTGACCACATTCGACGTTCTCGCGCTCTGATTCAAGGAGATCAACCTGTTGCACACTTGAGCTCAGACTCATTGAAAGAGTTAGGGTTGAGTGGCAGATAGCCTTAAGCTCCCAATTAATGAAATGGTGTGTTTAAGGTCATACCTACGACATGCACGCAGCACGTACGCTACCCTCAAGCACTGGGGCACTACTCACAAATACATTACAAGATTCACACTTGCTTGGAGATTTATAGCTTTCCCAAATGTGATCCTGGAGCAGGGGTATTGGTCAAAATTTTTCATCATTTTTGCTTCTGTCGACAAGACACAGTGTATTTTACACTCATTCACAACACAAGGTGAGACAGATATTTGCTTGTAATGACCGACGAAATGGGTTTATTTGATCAATCAAACGCATTAGTGACATCCTCCCAATGGCACCCTCAGTTGGTCACTCAATCAGACCGAAAGTCGAACGAAAAGACGAACGGTGCGATTTGAATTATTTGATAAAACCGATACATTTCCGTCTTCGCTCGGTGTTCAACGGTGACTTCCAATCAGCCCGCCGCAACTGTACTCCTAGTCTAGCCATTCTTTGTGATGACCTCAGAGTGGGAGAATATTCAAGAATACATGCAGACTTCACTTGAAATTGACCCTTGGGATCATTTTCAATTTTGAACTACATATGTTCATGCTGTCTGTCAGTCTGATCGGTTTTCTTGGTGCATGCGTGTTTCACGAATTCTACTATCTTGTTACTCGTAAACCAACTGGATAAGGTAGCACTAATACCCCAGCATCTTCTACGTTTCTGATGAGCACTGTGGCTGATTGTAGAATGTATCGGGAAAAATTGATGATAAAAAGACAAACTGTTCTCCTCCATCAATCACCCTACTCCCGTTTTCAACTTCAAGTTTAATCATTATCGCATCTTCTGTCTCCTAAATCACTAGCATTTTTAATCAGAATGTGGACATTCTGAAGTGCCAAAACGAATATCCAAAGAGTTGCACCAGATCTCAGATCTGTTCTTCCGAGGATTTCCAGTTACTTCTTGCTGGTTGTGTGACCCAGTTCCGAGAGGTCGGTGTTGTTGTGTGAAAGTGTGTATGCGAACAGAGGGGGGAGGGGGGGAGGAGAGAGGTCACGACCCCGGTAAACTATTCCTCACATTTTATTGTTCTCCTTCCAACCCCTAGGTTTTTCCCCTCATAAGAACTCTAACGGC